CTGCTGGTGTTGGTCCACTGTGTTTTATCAAGGGCAGGGTCAATGCAGCTAGCTATCAGGAGATTTTGGAGCACTTCATGCTTCCATCTGCTGAAAAGCTTTATGGAGATGAAGATTTCATTTTTCAGCACGACCTGGCACCTGCTCACAGTGCCAAAACCACTGGTAAATGGTTTACTGACCATGGTATTACTGTGCTCAATTGGCCTGCCAACTCTCCTGACCTGAACCCCATAGAGAACCTGTGGGATATTGTGAAGAGAAAGTTGAGAGACGCAAGACCCAACACTCTGGATGAGCTTAAGGCCGCTATCGAAGCATCCTGGGCCTCCATAACACCTCAGCAGTGCCACAGGCTGATTGCCTCCATGCCACGACGCATTGAAGCAGTCATTCATGCAAAAGGATTCCCGACCAAGTATTGAGTGCATAACTGAACATGATTATTTGAAGGTTGGCGTTTTTTGTATTAAAAACACTTGTCTTTCATTGGTGGGATGAAATATGCTAATTTTTTGGGACAGGCATTTTGGGTTTTCATGAGCTGTATGCCATAATCATCAGTATTAAAACAATTAAAGACCTGAAATATTTCAGTTGGTGTGCAATGAATCTGAAATATATGAAAGTTTAATTTTTATCATTACATTATGGAAAATAATGACCTTTATCACAATATGCTAATTTTTTGAGAAGGACCTGTACTTTTGATACTTCAGTCATTTCGGGTAACGCATATCATTAACAGGAAGATGGTAGAAAGTAACTAAACTATTGAACTCTTGTCTAAATGATACGCGGTTGGAGGGAACTACTTTTTCTTCCACCTGAGTAAATGCGTAATGCGTTTAAACCGAGCCGCACGCTACTCATTCTCTCAACAGCGGTGGAGCTGAACAGAGTCATTGTGTGGAACTATTTCATCTCCGGAAACAGCCAAACGGTTTGTGAGGTTTCTGTAAAGTACACAACAAATCTTGTAAAACACTTCTGGTTAAATCACAACACATGAGGTGGACAGAGGAGGAGAGCAAAGAGTCACGTGCTGCTTCTCTGGAGGAGTCCCTCAGGGCTGCAGGACTATCCAGATACAGGGGGAGGAAATGTGGAGCTTCAAGTTGTGCTAAGAACTACTGCAGTTGGAGTTCCATCCATCCATCCATTATCTTTTTCCTGCTTCTTCCATTTTGGGTCACGGGGGTCGCCCGTGCCCATGTCCAGCAGTCACAGTACGAAATAATTAACAAAATAAATTAATGCTTCAACAAATAGTTGCACAAATTCAAATTAAGTAAGAATACTATGAGTATCACTGAGATAATCTCACATGGGCAAAAAAGCCTAGATTTATTCAGGTAAGGTTTCCTAAATAATATTGATAATTTAAAGTGGATTACATGGAGAAGGTGTCATCAAATTATACAGAGCAACGGTGATAAAACATTGATGAACTCTGAAAAATAAATACTACAAAATGTGGATAAAATATATCTTAAACATATCTCTTATTATTTAATATATATTTAATAATTTATTTTAATAGTTTTATGATTTTCCTTATTTTTATTGTTTGAAAAACTCTTTTCGCCAGTGGTGTAGTCTACATTTTTGTAGTGAGTATACTGCGGTCAAGTTAGTTTTACGTTGGACACCACAGAATCCACGGAGTGCGAATGTCCAACGTAAAACTAACTTTACTGCGATCGGTCTGTATACTGTGCTTAGAAACCAAAGTACACTGGTTAGTACAATGTAATTGTACATTTATTTTGATTTTTAAGCGTATTGAACATTTCCAAATTTCTCTGATGCTTATATTTGAATCAATGAACAACAAACTTTGTACAAAAATTTGTTTTGTATTAAAAACAGAGTTTAATAAACAGTATCAAAGCAAAACATGTTCAAGTATTAAGTAGTAAGTACAGAATTATACAATAATTTGTCAGATAAGCAAATGTAATAAACAAGCGCTGCATACTGACAGATTGTTACAGAAGCATTTAACAGTTATTTAATGTATCAATGACACATGCCTAATGACATGTCATGTATGAGTATCACCACTGCTTTTCACGTATTTTGTATGTCTGTTATTTTATTTATCTGTAAAAAAAAAAATCTGTATGCCTTTTTTCAACCGTCTATTGTTGTCGCTGTTGTCCATTGTTGTCATCTTTCTTTGTTGAAATCAGGTCTCTCTTGTAAATGAGTCCTCCAGGCTCAATGGGATTTACCTGTCTAAATAAAGGCTGAATGAAAAATTTCATTTTGTTTTATAAGCTCAGACTAAATGAGGACACTACCTCAACATACTCCTGAGTTTAAAATAAATTACTTTGATGTCTTGCATTCCTTATGTAGCTTTTATTTGAATACACTGCTTTTTTTTAGGTTTACATGACACATGAGGTGTATTTGCACAAAGTATCAGTATCGTAATCGATGCCGCCCATACTTGCATGCATTTTTATCCGGTATCGTATCGGACCAGAAAATCCGGGTATCGAACAGCAAGTCAGGTTCACTTCCTGTATAAAATCTCGAACTTTCTCGCGAGATCTCGGACGACGTTTCGACTTTAGCTCGTGCCCTACAACTGGTTAATAATCGATGTAGCTGAGCCTTTTACATTAAAAACAGCTAGCTGCCCTAAATAAACGAGCTAGCCTGGTTGAAGCTAATGATTTCTTTTGTGTGTTCAGTCTTTCCACCATCTAAACAAATCAGAGGAAAAATATCTAATTGTTGTTCATGTCGTCCGACACTGGTGCTTCTTCCTGCACTGACTCAACGCAGGTAAAGTGCCTTCACTTACGTTTTACTTGGCGTTAAACGAGGAGGCTGCTGTGGTCGTTGTCTGGTGTTTACCTTATATCTAACGGCGCAATGGCGCCCCCTGCTGGCCAGTTTGCAGATGACAGCTGGAGGCCGTTTTACGTGACGGGGGATCTGTTCTCCTGCCCCGCGGATGATGCCCTGGCCCACTGCATTAGTGAGGACTGCCGCATGGGGGCAGGCATAGCTGTCATGTTCAAGCAGAGGTTTGGAGGGGTGTCAGAGCTGAAGGAGCAGAGTGAGTCAGTCTGATTCATTCATATATATATATATATATATATA